CTCTATGGAGACTCATTTTGTGGTGTGTGTTGTGGTGAAGAGGGAGCTGAGTCGAAAGGCAAAGCTCTCGATTTACTGGTCAATCTTCGTTCCTCCCCTCACCTATGATCATGATTTTAGGTAATGACCTAAAGGACGAGATCGCAGGTACAAGCTCTTGAAATGAGTTTCCTCCACAGGGTGGCTGCGTGCTCTCTTAGCTATAGGGTGAGGAGCTCAGTCACACCTGAAAAGCTTAGAGTGGAGCCGCTGCTCTTTTACATCAAGAGGAGCCAGCTGAGGTGGCTCGGGCATCTGTTCTGGATGCCTCCTGGGCACTTCCGGGCATGTCCCACCAGAAGGAGTACCCGGGGAAGACCCAGAACACACTGGAGGGACTGTGTCTCTGAACTGACCTGGGAACGCCTTGGAGATCCCCCCAGAGGAGCTGGAGGAAGTGTCCAGGGTAAAGGAAGTCTGGAAGTCCCTGCTTAGACTGCTGCCCCTGCAAGCCAGCCCCAGATAAGTGGAAGCAAATGGATGGATGGACTCATTTTACTTAAATACCTGGGTGAAATCAGGTAGATTAATTTGTAAGCAGAAAACATTAACTAATTATAGACAAAAATCATAAAAAAACAGAATCTTATCTGAAGAAGCAGTGCAAGAAACACAAATGTTCAAATCATATAATTTCACCAGGATAGTGAGGATTTTGTCACTCAAACAGGAAGCCTAAACGTATACTCAAGTAGTACACTACTATTGCTCAAATAGGAGTAAAACTTGAGAACAACAATGTGATTCATAAACCTGCTTAAAAACCATGAGTCAGGAACATGTTTTAGTTTGAACCGTTAGCCCTGCCCACTCAGTCCTGTCTGGGATAGTGTCATGCAGTTGTTTCCTTATAGTTCTCCAGTGTCTGAAAAAGTGAAAATGCGATGTGGTGTTTTAATACAGGAAATGCTCCACTGTGTTTTTAAACTCCATACACGTCACTATTTGGGTCATTTCAGCCCTGGAATTGCCAATCTCAAGAAGGTAAAGGTAGCTGACTTTAAACTAAATTGAAAACTACTGCTACATGACATCACAAGGTGGAACAGAGCATTTGGATCTTTAGAGATGGAGATAAACTGATATGGCAGGATTACTCAAATATATGTGAATAAAACAAAACACAACTCCAGGTCTGTTTTTGATGAGGTTATAACCTTATAACTTGGGAGTAAATTTTGTGTAATACAGGATCTTTAATAACAACTGGACAGAAAAGATAACTCTGTCAGTAACTTCTGTATGTAAGTATGTAAATAAAGATTATATTTTACAGCCTCTACTTTTTTTTTTTTATTTAGCAGCTTTTACCATATAACACATGATGTAAAGAGCATTTATCTTAACTAGAATACATTAAATAATAAAAACATACAAGTGTAAATGAGTACACATCTCTGGACATGACATTTAAGAGAAAGAGAGAGGAAGAGAGAAAGATATTTTATTGATATTAGTAGTTTTATTTATTTATTTTTGAACCCATGTTTGACCCTTTCTGTGGTTTACCTCTCTCCAGTCTCCGGTCTAATCTCAGAAAGTAACAGTTTGTGGGCAGGTTTCATGTCATGTGTTGTTGGCGTTTAAAGCTGCTGTCCTGAAGCTGTTGCCACATCTCCAGAGCTTTTCATACCACTCACAGAACAAGAGGGACATTGTTGTTTAACCCTGTGCAGCTCGGGGATTATCAGATCAGCAGCCTGTGAAGTGGAGGTGCAAATGTGTCAAGTGTAAAAATCATCACATTGGGTTTACGTGGGGTCCCGGTCGTGCTCAGAATATGAGTTTGTGCAAGCAGAGAAATCGATTTCAAACTAACAGCTGTCAATCGCACTGAAGTGAATACACCACAAGCCTTGAGAACCTAGGGCTGCTGGTTCAAATCCTGACATGGGCACTTTGAAATAGTCACCGTGCGTAGTCACTCAAGTTTTTCTTCCAGTGAGCTCCTTTACAAAACCAAAATGCCAGAGAGCTACTAGTTTTAGCGGCCACAGGACATTGAGACGATTTAAGAAAGCGTTGGGGTACAGTTAGATGGCAATTAAACATAAACGACGCCCAGGAAGAACAGTTGATAGCTAAGGTCTGTATAATATTTTGAACTGTGCAATGATGGGAACTGTGCAATGAATGGAGTGTACATGTTATAGTTTGGCCCCCTGTGACCCCAGCCCTTTGGGACAACGGATGGAACTTTAGGCTACAATCTGGTGTGTTTACATTCATGTTGTGTCATGTTTGTTCATTAACATGCTCTGTCCCAATCAATCAAACAAACAAACAAACAAATAAATAAATAAATAAGGTCAATTAAATACAATCAATCCATGAATCTGCCCAGGGACTACAGGTGTAAATTAGCACTGGTGCTACAACCTGATGTACAATGCATCTCTTCTGTTAAGATTAATGTAAAAAATGTGTGCTGTCCCTGTCTCATTAAATAAAATAAATTAAATAAAATAATAGGCATGTAATTAACCAAATTTTTGATTATTCAGCACAGTGATATAATTCTGAAATCCCTTGGTGAGCCCCTTGGAAGGGGGTGGAGAGCGACTGGTAGCTCCTGACCTACAGGTTGGAGACCCCTGTTCTACATATTTTGGCCTATACTGTTACTAAAGCTGCTAGTATTACTGTTGTTACTTTTACTGTAAATAGCCTGTATTTTACTAGTGGTATTTTTACTTTTGACGGTGTCCAGTGCCCCAATGTTTTTTACTTGTCAATGCCTGATCTCATCTGATCTCAGAAGATAACCAAGGTGTGTACTGGTTAGTACTTGGATGGAGATCACTGGGAATATCAGGTACTACAGTGAGACTGCAGTGGGCCTAGTGCAAACTGTAGGTTGTGTCTTTAAGCAAGGCACTTCATCAATCTTGCCAAGTTTGAATATATGTGTGTGTGTTGGTTGATGGCACGGATTGGCAGCTTTGACTTTGTTAGTCCCATAACTTTGACTACGATAATATCTTATTACTGCCGTGTGGGGAGTGAACAAATAATGCTCTCTTTCCATAAAAGTCCTTAAAAAGTCCATAAAAGTCCCTAAAAGCACTGTATAATATTTAGAAGAAGCAATTATTTATACCACAAATCCACTACCACTAATTAAATATAAATATACTGCTAATATTACTGCTGCATGATGCATTATGCCTCATACTAACAAATACTACTACTGCATCACTAGTATAATCCCCTAATACTATCAGTAACTCAATTATAACTTTGATCAGTACATTTGTGCACTCTGACTGTGACACTGTGTGCCCCACAACCCAGTCTTCAGTTCATAATTCTAATGAAAGGGCTTAAGATATAGAGATTAGCATATGGAATGTTTAAGGTTTTTAATGTTGCAATAGTTAAGACGTGCACCTCCCTAATAGCATGAACATTGCCAACTTTGACCTAAAGGGAACGTCAATGGAACTCTTATCAAGCTATTTAAATTCCTTCTTCTTCTTCTTTGATTTATTTTAGTGCTTTTGCCATCTTATTTTTATTAATTTTTTTGCCATTTTCAAAAACTGTTGACTTATTTGGGTCAGTCCTGGTGCCAAGTTGCGCAAACATTATGAGGTGTGAGTTTTCGTAATGTTGGCACGCTTTGAAACGCTGCCAAGTGTTACGCAGAAAGTGGGTGACGAAATCAAGAAAGTTGAGATGTGGTAATAACAAAATACTACAGAGGTATTTTTAGTTTGGGTTGTAATCCTTAGATAACTCAAAGATGGAGGTCAAATGAAGTTGGTTTGATAAGATTCCTCAACGATGTTGTCACTTCAAAACAATATTACTGAATTAAATGTAATAAGTAGATATTATCTGATGTTTTAGTAGGGATGTGATCAGACTGAAAAACATGAATGACACATTAGGGTTATATAAGAGAGGAGACATTTTGACACTGAAAGAGTAAAATTGTATACTGTTGTTACTTCATTAATATTATACTCTGTAGATTCAAAATCAAAATACACAGGAGTAATTTTATAATATAAAATATATACAAAAAAGCAAACATTAGTTTCAAAACTAATAAAAACTATAAGGTGAATAAAATTGGCAGGGCTATAACAGACTGTACTGATTAAAGAAAGAACTAAAAAAGTTAAAACCATACTTCAGAACATTCTCCATGGACATTTTTCTCCGTGGAAGTTTTTTCATGCTGTGGAATATTATAACCAAAGGAACAACATTTCCATGGAAACAAGATGGAGGAGACCCCCCCTCCAGGCAAAATAAGAGGTTGTGAAGATGTTTGTCAGTGCACATCCATAATGAAACAAACCAAACAAAATATATATATATTTTATTTTTATTTTTTTGGCTGAAATTCCACGTATAATGTAAATATTTCGGACAGTGACTTTTCAGATGGATTGTCATTTAAACATTTCATACAAGTTTAATAAAGTATGTTAAAAGGTTTATTTATGCTTAAAAGAGTTTAAATGTATCAGAAGAAATAGGCCACAGAGCTCTGGTTCAGTGCAGGGCCACAGGCGCAGACTCTGGCCACAGGGCGCGGTGCAGGGGCCCCCTTGTGGTAAAACAGCGCACTCTTAGATTACCAGTCACGTCAGAACCCAAATGAACAAGCTCCATTTGAGGCACAGACAAATCCAAACATCACTGGATTATGAGCATTCGGAAACGTTTGTGCGCTCGTGCACTGAGACGTTTGTGCGCAGCCTATCGGATTCAGCGGGAGCCAATACGCATCCAAATGAAAAGAACGCCAGCGCTTTCTATAATCCCCGTCTATCCTTTTGATCTCGGGACCCGCTGCCGTGGCATCACAATGGGACAGGGCAGCGACGGGGCACAGCCATGAAGAGCAGACTCCCGTAAATGACTCACATCACGGGGCTTCTGGACTCGAGTGGGGGCAAACTGGAGCCACGAACCAAAAGAGAGCGTGTGCGTAAAAGTGCGCCGAGATGCTGGCTGTGCTGCTCGTGGGGCTGTGCGCGGCCTCGGCCGGTCTGTTCTCCGCGGTCAGCTGTTGCCCATCACAGTGCAGCTGCTTCTACCACAACCTCAGCGACGGATCCAAGGCCAGGTACTGCACGAAATACTTAAATGTTTGTCTGACCATCGCTTTTACGCACGTCTTGATGCATCTTTTGGAGCTCTTTTGGCGCGACAGATGTGAGCAGAGGTGAACACGTGTGCAGAAGATAATTCAGGGAGTGCATGTCCGTCCAATTTTATTTAATGCAGGATTATGTGTCAAAGGCACTTTCAGCCTCTCCGTCTATGCCGTTATCATTTACAGGAGTAGCCTTTTGCAGGCTTACAACGTTAAATTTACTCAATGTAGTTCAACTTGTATCACTGAATTTACATATCTCGTCTGTAAGCTAATTTATAATAATTAGTCACCTTCCTTTATCCTCACTTTTGTGTCTCATTTGTCATATTTTAACCTGTGTGTTTTGAACTATTGTTATCACAAAAAGTGAATAAAACTGTAGATCATTTTCTGAATCTGATCCTTGTGTGGCATGACCCCTGACCTCTTGTGTGTGCTACAGGAGTGTCATCTGTAATGACCCGGACATGTCCCTGGTGCCAGTGGGCTTCCCCGTGGACACGTCCAAACTGCGGATTGAGAAGACGTCCATCCAGAGGGTCCCCAGTGAGGCCTTTAGCTCCCTCTCCAGTCTGGAGTTCCTGTGGCTGTCCTTTAACACTTTGTCCTCTGTGGCTGGGGACAGTTTCAGAGGGCTGCTGAGCCTGGAGGAGCTGCGTCTGGACGGGAACTCTCTGACGGTGTTTCCCTGGGACAGCCTGCTGGACATGCCCAGCCTCAGACTGCTGGACCTGCATAACAACCAGCTCAGCTCTCTGCCCCCGGAGGCCACCACCTACATCCGCAACCTCACCTACCTGGACCTGTCCAGCAACAACCTGCTCACCCTGCCCCCCGAGGTGCTCAGCACCTGGCTGGCAGTGAGGCCCGCCCAGGGCCCGGAGAGCTCCAAGATGATACTGGGTAAGAGAGGAACAGTTATCCTGTACTTCATTAGGATAAAACTCATTCATAAGTCATCACATCAGCAGCTGGACAGTACTGTTGCTAAGTGACCATCTGTGGATATAAGTAGCTCTGGATCATAGTGATGATTAGAATGAAATCATGTCTACATGTTAGCGTTGTATGAAGGGAGATCAACTTAATAACTACATCTCTCTCCTTTTCATTCTGTGTGATTTGATAAACTCTGAAAAGTCCTGGTTGTGGCAGTGGCAGTGAGCTACGGTGTAAAAGCTGCTGAGAGAAGATCAATGCAAAGTTTCTTATTCCAGATAGTGCAGGGTTTGTTGTCAGGAGTAGGGATGGGCGATATGCAATAATTCCACTAATTGTAATAAAAAAAATAAAAATAAATTATAAGTATTGCGATACTGTTTATTTTTATTTTTTTAAATTTTCCAATAAGATTATTTTTTTTTTACTTAATAGGCTACATGATGTGTATAGTCATTCAAACATATTTATATTTTCAATACAATTTTAGATCTTTTTTAAGATTATTGTGATGTTATTGTTAATAGTGATTATATTGACCATTATAATTGTGACACAAATTTAATTATCATCCCAAATCTAAATGAAAGTACTGTCTGACATCGGACACAACTGGACAAAATGGCCCTCGCTTACATGAATATTATATGTGTCATCTTAGTAAATGTCTTATTTATTTTTTCAATCCATTCATTACTGAATATTCTTTTCATTTCCACATTTTCTGTGAAGAACCACCATCCGAGTCATCATCATCCTCTTCCTCTTCATCATGTCTATCCATCCTGTGCTCTACTCGTCCCTGGTGTAGTCATGGACAGGGGTACGGACTTTATGAATTAAATGTTAATCCTCTTACAGGATTAGCATGCTAACATCCACGCTGCCATCTGCAGACTGCTCTTTCACATTGTCCGCAGCTGGACGCTCCCCCTGCTCCACTGAGCTGGCCTTTGCCCTTGCCCGCAGGTCTCCATGACAACCCATGGGTGTGTGACTGCCGCCTGTATGAGCTGGTGCAATTTCAGAAGTCTCCGAGTCTGTCTGTGGCTTTCATAGACACACGTCTCCGCTGCTCTGCTCCAGAGAGTGTGTCAGGAGTCCTGTTTAGTGACGCTGAGCTGCGTCAGTGCCAGCTGCCCCGGATCCACACGGCTGTGGCACGAGTGCGCAGCGCCGCAGGCAACAGTGTACTGCTCCGATGCGGCACCCTTGGCGTGCCCATCCCAGACCTGAGCTGGAGCAGGGCTGATGGACGACCTCTCAACGGCACAGGTGAGCCTAAGTCTGTTCTACTTTCCACATCTGCAGTCTGAGCTAAGATGCTTTATAGAGCTGTTAATTAAAGAGAAAGCTGTGAGGGGATTGTAATGCCCTGAGACTGACTGACAGCTGCTACTGCTGCTGCTACACAGTTATGCAACATTGATCAGTATTGACTCAACATTGAATAATCACAAAGGACAGTTGTCTGATCAAATCCTGGGGCGTAGAATTTAATAATAGTACAACACCAAAACTGCTCATCTGTGTCATTCAAATACTTTGCACAAATGACTCCACACATAGACCATCCCAGATGTCATGTACCAACACATGTGTTCTCTCCACAGTCCAGCAGGAAACATCTAAGGAGGGCATCACCTGGTCCATCCTCAGTGTGCCCGCAGTGTCCTACCAGGACTCAGGGAAGTATATCTGCAAAGGCACAAACTACGCTGGGAGTGCAGAGGCGGTTATCTCACTCCTTGTTACCAACTCAACCAAAGCAGATGGAACCCAGTCAAACAATGAGAGAAAAACAAAGATGAAGAAGTCTGGTCCAATGGGCAAAGCTGCTTACCAGGAGAAGCTGGTGGCCCGGTACGTGGTGCCCACCTCCACTGCACCCACTCTGCAGGCCATGCAGTCAGGCATCCCTCTGGGGCTGGGCTCAGTGCTGTCTGTGGACAGTTACAGTGTTGCAGACCAGGCCACACCTGCTCCTGTCACCACCTCCAACCCAGACACCCTCTTGGAGCTGGAGAGGACCAACCTTAGCAATCTTTCTGCCAACACCTCCTCCCTCCAGCAGGACCCTGACAGGGTGGTCAAAGGAGTCAAAGTGGTGGGGGACACGGACAATACCATTTCTCTGAACTGGAGAGCCCCTAAGGCCAAGAACAGCACGTCATTCAGTGTGCTGTATGCAGTGTTTGGAGAGAGGGACATGAGGAAGATCAACGTCGGAGCAGGACAGACGCGGGTCACCATCGATGGCCTGGTGCCCAGGACCAAGTACATCGCCTGTGTGTGTGTGAAGGGCCTCATCCCCCGGAAGGAGCAGTGTGTGATCTTCTCCACTGATGAAGCAGCCAGTGCTACAGGCACACAGAGACTCATCAATGTGATCGTCATCACAGTGGCCTGTATCATTGCTGTCCCGCTCACTGTCATCGTGTGCTGCGGTGCAATCAAGAGGCGCATCAAGAAATACTGGGGCAAGAAGTCCAAAGACATCCAGGACTCCTATGTGACCTTTGAGACTCTGTCCCCTGGCACTAAGGCCAAAGGGCTGGAGGGAGAATATCTGAACAGACTGAACCCAGAGGAGTCCAACAGACTGCTGTCTGCTCGCTCCAGTCTGGACTCTGAGGCCACAGCCAAGATAGAAGGACAGCCCAACGAGTACTTCTGCTGACATCATGCTCCAGCTCCGGCTCCACAGCCCACACCCCACACGCACGCCCATCACCTGCCCCATCTGCACCTCAGCACCCATCAGCAGCACCCACATCACCCACCCTCCAACCAGCAGCACCCACATCACCCACCCTCCAACCAGCAGCACCCACATCACCCACCCTCCAACCAGCAGCACCCACATCACCCACCCTCCAACCAGCAGAACGCCATCACCCCACACCACGGTACACTCCCACACCTGCAGCAGACCCACCAGCACCCACAGCTTCAGCACCCTGCCCATCCCCACCCACCACGGCCCCCTGAAGTCAGCCTGCCCAACGCACGCTCCCACACCCCTCTGCCCTGGGACAGCCCTCCTCCTGTCCCTCCTCGCTGGGTCATGCCCTCCACACCACCTCAACAGAGGACCACCTTCTATCAGAGAGCATTCGCACGCTGCACCATCATGGAGATATCAGTGTAGAGACCTGTGCACCTCTACGGCCTGCTACGCACAAGCTCTTGGATAAAATGTTCTGCACGTACTGTGTTTTGAGGATGCTACAATCAAACCATGAATCAGGAATTAAACTCACTACTCCATCTAGTGGTACAAAGTGAAATGTCAGACAATAGGATAACATTTGTGCTTGTTAGTGTTGGTCTGTTGATGTTTTATTTTCTACAGTCTTTAACAAATCCACTTGACACTGTAGTTTAAGCTAAAAGGTGTAAACAGTAAAAATCTGAACCATCCGATAATATAAAATAGTCTGCACTGATGATTGTGTGAGTCTCGATTTTCTTAGCATGGCCAGCGCCCCCTGTCTCCTGATGTGTGAAGGGCACTGAAAGAGCGGATCTAGATCACGTGTGTTTTTGTACATAAAGCTCCATGAGTGTGTGCCTCTGTATATATCTCTGTATCTTAAACATGTGTCATAGGTTCTGAGGAGATATACACACAGGCATTTTCACACTGCAGTGACGAGAGAGCTGGAGCTGGAGAGAGCGACTCAACTATGACACTGTAAATACAAATCAAATTTAATGTATTTTTATTCTCTGCACAATTTATGTTAGCCCCTGACCTGTGCTCTCAGTGTATAAACATGTTCTGTCAAATAAAGTTTTCTATTAAAATATGGATAATAACCCAATTTATACATTTATTCTGACTTTTATTTAATGTGCAGTTTTGATATTAAAGAGCCCATATTACACTATTTTATGATCTTTGTAATAATGTTGGTTCCTCATCAAAAACATATCCAGAATTGTTAGTTTCATTTACACAAGTTTAACAAACAAACCCTAAAAATTTGAGTTACTCTCAAATACAAAACGATCTGTTCCAACTTATGATGTCAAAATGAAGTGTTCCACTGTGTTTTTAAACTCGATACACCTTCATTAAAACCATTTGTCATCATTTCAATCCTGGAATCTGTACTGAACTAAAAGGTACATTTAGCTGTTAACTTGAAAACTACCACTTCATGACATCATAAGATGAAACAGGGCTTTTTGAGCTTTTGAGATGTAAACAGACTAAAAATAAACGTGTGCTCAAACGTGTGAATGAAACAAAACTCACCACAAGCATACGGAAAACACGAAGTCCGTACAAGAGTGGTCCTAACTTTTCGAAAAACTCATCAAGTAATTAGCTGTGAAGAAATGTTGAAAATAAAAATCCACAAATGTTAAGTCCAAAGTGTGGTTCTTGGTTGTAGTTTGCGTCAATATAGATCACCAAAAGTCTCAGCAAAATAAATTTACGCTGGATTTGGAGACGACTTTTATGCATGGTTAGACCACGGCTGTTCTGAGGTTTCACCAGTTAAAATTTGACAAAGGTTATCTCTAATAACATTGAAAAATATCTTGTAAAAGCATTCTAACATGGACTAAATCTCACAAGAGTAAATTTGTGTAATATAGCAAATTTAATCCTTACCAATCTGTAAATAAATAAATAAATAAATAAAACATTCTAGAGACTTCATTATGTAGGTAGTGATGTCCTACAGGTGAACACAATCTTCTATTTCCATTGAGTCATGTAGGTGTAAAAACAGTGCTAGCCCAACAGACCTTTTCTAAAGACATCTGATTAACTGTGTTTGTAATTCAATTGGCTGACCTGCCTCTGTTGTATTCTCACATAACAACACTAGATGCCTATATCTAGGTTACTGCAGTTTAAGGTGTTAATCTCATAGTTGTTACCATGTTGGTGTTTGCTTCCCTGCGTTGACAGTTTGGCAAATGTCTCAACCCTCTTTGCCCCTAACTCATGCAATACCTGTCCTGTCTAATTAAAGATCCTTTATTACGCAAAATTGACTCTTGTGAACTTTAAGTCAGTCATCTGTTAGAATGTTACCTCATCAAAAACATACCTGGAGTCGTGTACGTCTTTCACACATATTTGAGTGACCCTTTATTATTACTGCCCTACAAAGACAAAAGAGCTTAACTCACCAGAGTGTGAAACTGAGAAAAATGACTTCAAAACTTCTGTTTTGTCCAGACAAAATATAATAGGTAGGGCTCCCAAAATTTGACAACTAGTTGCTATAATGAAGAAATATTTGTATGCATAAAAATACTGAGCTCAAAATAAAACTTTGACCCTTATTTGACAGCTACTGTACTCTGCTTTTGTATCATAAGGAGTCGTGCAAAGGCAAAAAGCAGTGACTGACATGACACTTTATTTGATTTTCCCTAGACTTCCATCCATTATAAGAACACCTCACCCAGGCTGAGTCATCATGGAGTTTGTTTGAAATGATACAAGAGCTTGATCAGGACACTTACACAGTTAAATAGTCTGACAGACATGTTACTTTACAGTATAGTATATACTGTATCAATAAATACAGAAAATACTTTCACATTAAAGATCATTTAAGTATAATTGAACACAAAGGTTTATTTATTTAGCAATGACATATTTATTTATTAACGACATAGTTTTTGGCTTTTGCCTTTGCACGACTTATTTTTTGCACCTGATACAAAGGCAGAGCACAGGAACTGCCAAATAAGGGTTAAAGGTCAATTTTGAGCTCAGTATTTTTCACAATATTTATTCACATGATAAAGGAGCTCTCATATTCAAACAAAATGACATGAACTCATTTTTGACCAAATATGATGTTACGGCGTTCTGCCTTTGTAGGGCAGATTAGTCTATCTACATCTCCAAATGCTCCCTGTAATGTCGGGAAGTAGTAGTTTAAGTTGTAAGTCAACATCAGAAATTGTCCAAATGATTCAAGAAAAACTAAACTAAAACTAAGAGAGTTTGTGTATTAAATGTGTGAATGAAACAAAACACAACTCCAGGTCTGTTTTTGATGAGGAAACAACATTATATCATAGATCCACCTTAGGATAATATGGACCCTTTAAAACTTTAAGCCAGAAGTTACTATAGTTAGTCTATCTAGTTCAGCACTGTCCAAACAACCTTTATTGCATGAACACAAGAAACTCTGCTTTGTTTGAGTCAACCCTTGTCCGATCTGAGCTCCACTTCCCAGTCAAACCAGCTCACCATTTGGAGGTTCCTGTTTGGTTACGTAACTTGGTGTTTTGTGGGTCAGGGCAGCAGTGGGACAGTGCCGTCTTAATCATGATCAGGGGGAGAATTAGAGCCACTTGTTTGTTCCACGGCACGTCAAGGATTAAGAGTAATAGGCTTCTCCTGTCCACTGCCCTGACATGTCCACAGCGCGAATGTGGCCCTAAACTCTGGGCTTTTGTTTGGACTATGGACATATTGGGTTATTTACTCGTGATAGTTGTGGTTCAGTTTGGGGTGAGTGCGGCGTTTTCCTCCCAGTGTTTACGCGGGTGTAGCTGTGTAGAAGACCGTCATGGAAGGTAAGGCTGCTCCTGTAATCTCAAGAGTATTTTTAACTCTCTCCCTGTGTCACAGAGAGAGGCGACAATAAACAGGTCTATAGCAATATAGTTTTGAGTATAGTTAAAGCTAACATTTAGTGTAGTGAGGAGGCTTTGGTAATGCTTTTGTACCAAGATTTTTTCTCAAACTGAAGCTAAGACTGAAGTTGGAAGAGCGAATAAACCAGGATTTCTCTGGACAGCAGAAGACATTATATAAATCTGCTATTATTTTTGAACACCAATAGAAGTGTTTGCAAGACATTGGAACAAAAATGTACCTTAGACTGAATTTCAAAGTGTAAGAATTCTGCTAGTCTGAATATGTTGCTATAAATTTGACATTCTCTTGCTGTAGGTCCCTCACTTGTATGGAGGACAGTCTGTTCAGGAGCATCCCAGATGAGCTGCCTGAGGGTCTGACTAAAGTGCGCATAGAGAAATCCCACTTCGCTGAGATCCCACAAGGAGTCTTCTCCAGGAGCACAGCCTTAGAAAACCTATGGCTCAACTTCAATGAAATTGCTCTAATCAACTCCAAAGGTCTGGAGGGACTGTCCAACCTGACAGAACTTCGGCTGCAGGGGAACAAGCTGCGCTCTCTGCCATGGACCGCCTTCGAGGATACACCCAGCCTCAAGATCCTGGACCTGAAGCACAACCAACTGGACGTCCTTCCAGAGCATGCTCTCAAATATTTACCTGGGCTCACATATTTAGACTTATCTTTCAATCAGCTTACGGTTATATCCAAGGAGGTCTTCCTCAACTGGCCCCTGTACCAGAAGCTGCAGAGCCAGGAGGGGCCAGAGGGGGGCGCTGTGGGGCCCAATGTGGTGTTAGCGCTGCACGACAACCCCTGGTTGTGCGACTGCCGCCTCAAAGGCTTTGTGGAGTTCACACGCTCCTTGAGCCCTCCAATTCTTCTCATGAACTCTTATTTGAGCTGCTCTGGGCCGGACTTTAAGGCTGGACAGTTCTTCCATGAGGTGGATGTGCGCTCCTGCATCAAGCCTGTGGTCAGCACTGCCACTGCAAACATGAGCCTGCCCCAGGGAGCCAACGCCACCATGCGCTGCTTGGCCAAGGCACGGC